AACCAGAGTCACGGAACGGATTAAGTTCATAACTAGAGGTACCACTGTACTTAGAACAGCAGGCAATTTTAGCAAGTTGGATTTCAGAGAAGCTTATAATGTAACTTACACGATGGAGGATCATAAGTACAGGTAGTCCTCATTTAGCAACCACAATTGGGCCTGGCAACTCGGTCATTAAGCAAAGTGGTCGCTAAGTGAAACTGTGACTGTGCTTATGATTTTACTTTAGCTTTCCTTTGCTTTACAGACCTGCAAAGGTTGTAAATGCGAGGATTGGTCATAAAGTTACTTTTTCATCACCATCATAACTGTGAAGGGTCGCTAAATGAGGCAGTTGCTAAACAAGGACTACCTGTATTTAGCAGTTTTTGTTATCCATTATGGGAGGTTTGAATATACAGTTATGTTATTTGATTGTCTGGAAGATGTTCCTCCCAATGAGCCATCCCATCACACAGCTATTGACACTACCAATCACACAGGAAGCAACCAACAGAAATAAGACAGACCTTATGCTACCAAGCTATGCCAGCAAATCTGGGGAATTACACAGTGCTCAACAGATTGGAAGAGGTCAATTTACATTCCAACACCAAAAAAAGGAGAATTAACAGAGGGTGCAAATTATTGTACAGTATCCTTAATTTCACATGCTAGCAAAATAATACTTAGGATCATCCAATGCAAATTAGATTAGAGCTCTATATGGGAAAGGAGATGCCAGATGTTCAAGGTAGACTTAGAAAAGGCTGAGGAATACAAAACATTATTGCTAATGCACACTAGATAATTGAGTAAGCCAAAGAATACCAAAAAGAAGTCAATATGTGCTTCATTTATTATAGAAAGGCCTTCGATCGTGTTGATCATGTCAAGCTGTGGAACGTGCATAGACAAATAGGAATTTCAGAACATCTTATTCTCCTCACGAGAAAGGTATATACTTTACAGGTCAGGAAGCCACAGTATGGACAGAACATGGTGAAACAGACTGGCTCCAGGTGGGCAAATGAGCTGGATTAGAAGATGAGCGTGGTTTTAAAATTGGAGGAAGAAACATCAATAACTTCCGCTATGCTGATGACACTACTCTGATAGCCAAAAATACAAGGGACCTGCAAGGTCTAGTAATAACAGTCAAGGAGCACAGTGAAAAAATGGGACTAAAATTAAATGTAGAGATCAAACTAATGACAACAAGTACAACAACCACTCTTAGAACTGACAATGAAGATACTTAATGCCTTTGAATCAAGTTTCCCATCCATAATCCAATGGTCCCATTGCAGATATCTTAAATTTTAATTTCCATTCCAGCTGGTTGGATTCTTCTAAACTCCAGCTGTGTTCCAATGCATCACTGATCACGAAGATATGATTCTCCAACATGCCCACACAAAAAAAAAGCACAGAAAAATTATTTCCATTGATCATGTGCACTGAGATACATACTTGTTCACTGTGTTGACAGAAGAGGGAGCTCTTTTTCTGAATTGCTGTTTAATCACAGATTTGTGATTAATGCATTTCAGGAAAGGCCCTAGCAAATGTAAATTAAATAAAAATGATTAAAACAAAAGAGTGATGTGCTTCCAGGATCAACAATTGCCTGAACGAGAGGAAATCACTTGACAGATAGGCAGAGGTTCATTTTTCACTTGTAGGGATTGGTATAGGGAACATGAGGGAGTAAATTTATCTCTTGTACTGGCTTGAGGTCCAGGCAAAAACTAAGTTAATACTTACATACTTATTCAGTTTTTATATTGTCTTCAAGGTAAGGCCTCCTCAAAATAGCTGAAGTGAAGTTTATCTTGAGTTGTGCTTCACTTCTGGTCTACATGGAGACATTCGTACTGTTTTCCTGGCAACAATACAGAAGTGGTTTGCCATTTCCTTCCTGGAAGTTTTTTGGGTTTGGTCTAGTACATAGAACTGGATTTCTGGTGGGCTCTCATCGAAGTATAACTAAGTATTTTGCATTTTTCAAGTACAGGCAAAATAATTTTTAAACTAATAAAATATAAACTAAACCAAGACATAAAACATTTAATTTAAAATATTCATAGGATTTAAAACTAACCCCTCAAGTTTCATTTGAAACAAGGATTTTCAAGCTTATTGGCTACAAGCTTTTAGCAACAATGCTTTATAAGCAAAAGGTATGATAAATCAGTCTTGGCCAATGCTGATAATATTAAACATTGTCCAATGAGGAAAAAATTAATCCGTTGGTTTTATAACTCTATGGAACACAACGGTTTATCAAATAATACAGAATGCGTGGGAAATTTATATCTTTTTCTGAAAAATAGGTTGAAGCTGAATTGTGAATAAGTCTTAATTCAGTATATAAAGAATTTGCACTGCACCTTTTTGGGGTTGACAACATAATAAACCTCAAATCTTGCGACATTACCTACAATGGAAGAATGGATGGTGAAGCTGAAGAGTTAGCTGAGATGGTGAAATTGACAGCTTTGCTTAGAGAAAAAACGTTGGTTAATGCTAATTGGAAGCCCCTTTGGACTTTTTGCAGGAAACAGAAAAAAATGAAATTATGATATATGAATTTGATGATTAAAGTATTAGATTATACAAAATATGCATGTTAAGATATAGTTTTAGAGTAAGAGGTTATTACATGATTTATTTATATCTGGTGTATAAGAAGTTGGAAGTCATTCTTTTTGTATTTCTTTTTTCCCCCCCTTTTTCTTGATTTTCTACCACTTCTGTTTTCTTTATTTCTAGCTTTCTACTCATCTTGATTATTAGTCCTTGTTAATTTTTATCTTTTTGCTTTTTAAAACTTAATAAAGTTCTTTAAAAAACCCTCAAATCCTGGTTAATCAGGAGCAATTGCGAAACACCCGTCTTGGTTGCACACAGCCACTGTGAAAAGCTTGGCTAGATGGGCCCCTAGTCTGATCTATTTGAGCCTTCCTTATTTCTTATGGAGTGGGATTGCCTACACAAAATTGTTTTAATTGTAAGCCGCTCAGTCACGACTGTGAGATGGGCGGCTATATAAATTGAATAAATAAAAACTCCCACTCCCACTTATTCATTTTATCTGAAACATGCACTCGTCATGCGGCTACCCTATACACAGCCAGGATTCTCGCTATGCGATTGGGACCCTGAAATAACAAAATAGCGTTTGACCACATGGAGAAACCGCCGCGGTCTGGTTTGCCTGGGGGCGAGCGGAATGGAAATACTGTATGAGAAATCTCAACACGATAGATAGACAAATGCCTGAATTTAACAGCAAGCACGAAGGCTGCAACGGTGGTGACATGCGATACACTGCAGATCTTAGCTCCACATATCTCTACAGCGCGGAGTAGAGCGATAGGAAGCGGGCACTTTGCACATTCTCAGAGGCATCATCTCTCGGCTGGAGATCTCGATAAGGAAGTGTGTGTCGTTGAGGACGCACAGAGGTCCCCCTTCGCAAAGAGGGTTATTCTAGTCACAGGCTGCGGTAATAAGAGCGCCAGCAGCCGCCGTCTTTGCTCCAGGAAAGGAGGGAGAGAGTCGGTCGCCCCTTTAACGGGCGGCGGGGCGGGGAGGGGAGAGGAGGCGATGGATGACTGCCTGGACGCATGAAGGGCCGGGCCGGGCCGGGCCGGGCCGACGTCGCGGACG